GGCTGATATCCCTGGGGCAAAGGTCATATTCAGTAATATTCAAGAGAGGAAATAAAACATCTGGTTTTAGGAATTCTTCTGTTACCAAAAATATGTGAGTAGGTAAAAGATAATCATTTATGGTTCAAAAACATCTAACATGTTTTTCTAAGTTGTATTTTTCATGATTCTTTATAAATTTTTTTCACATTGATGGTGCCTAGGGAATTGACATCTAGTGGTGAGCCAGGATATTATCAGCTGTTTCTCATATATTATCACAGCATTTAAACTTACATAGAGAACTGTTGGATGAGGTAGCATATTCTTTGACATGGTTTTTACACTTGTCCTAAAGTAAGAAGCATCAGGATTTGAGACTCGACTTTGCTGGAGACTATAACTAAACTGCTTCTAGTTTAAATAATAGAATCATGTGTTTGAGGGGCACAAGCAGAACCCTGAAGCCATGAGTTCAGAATTTGTCCTTTTTCTGACTTCCTGTGTAAATCTGACATAAATTGAAAAAATGGCGGCTTAACAAGAAGAGAAGATAAATATCAAACACCAAATGCTGGATAAAGTTTATACACTTTCAGTAATTTTGAACAGATTGTATCATATAGATAAATACACTCATAATTCTCTAATTACCTGACTAGGGAACAAACTTTTAAACTGCTGAAAGTCACAGATTACTGAATTTGTATAATCTGCTTTAAAATTATACTCAGTGATGGAACCAGCTCTAATTTTTATTTTCTTCTTCAAGCATTTCTATATTCTTGAAACTCAAGTGTACAGAATACACACCTTCCTCAAGACAGAAGAAAAAAATACTGTTTTTAAAATAGTTTCAACATCCAACTTCCACATAGCTAAAATTAAACTGAGTATCCTGCTGCTCCAATTTAAATGTGTTTCCTCTTATGTAGTCTTCAGAGGCAATGGGGTAAAGTTTCAGCTTTCAAACAACAGGTGATCTAACCTGTTGTCTTTTCTGAAAAAGCTAAAATTGGTTAACAGAAAACTCAGCATTCTCGTGAACTGTTATGTTTTCTGAGAAAATGTTAGCTTCTAACTTAGTTTTGACAAGGTAAAGAATGTGAAAATTTTGAAGAGAAGTGTAAACTGTTCTACAATAAGGAAAAATACACAATCGCTTCCTTTCTTAAGGAAGCAATTATTGTATTTTCTCAAAAGATGTTCATGTTAAAAATGACAAACCACTCTACTGTATGCTGTAAAACAAACTGTAACTACTTGTTTTAAGAAGATAATTTGTCCTTCCATTAAATTAGCTAACAATTTACCCATTATTCCAAGCAATAACTTCCATCCAAATTTACTTTCTTGTGAATAGTTTATACTATTACTACAAATAAGGCATATGTAGATAATATACAATATTACTTTGCACATTATAATTTATATAAATATGCAAGGAATGCAATCATATAATTGTTTCTTTTAACTGTTGCTTCCCTTTTTCTAAACCTCTTGTCACCAAGTTCTCAATAATTACTTATGCAAAGAATACATATGCAAAGCTAATGTAAGGATATGCTTGCCTAGGCACTGATTCTTATATTTAGAAAACTTAATAAACAAATTTATATACATTTTAATATTATGAATACCTCCTAAAATGAACAAGTTGAATTTCCCCATACCTTCATTATCAAAATTATGTTTTCCCATAGTGTACCATTAGTATTTTATTTCCTTTACTACTGTTAGACGATCTTTACAAATCTTCTATAAATAATTCTATGAAAAGTTCTAAATCAAATTTTAAAATTGGATTTTGTGATCACATGCCTTTTTAAAAAACTCATCCTATATTAGGGACATTAATCCTTCTATTAACCAATTTCTTTTCCAAGTTGGCTGTTTAGTAATTAGCATACTATTTTGCCATCTTTCAAAAACTCTTATGATGAGAGATTTCTATTGCCTTACAGATTTCTGATTGTGACTACACAAGTTTCTCATACCTAGATTATCAATATGGTCCTTTTCATTTTCTTTTAGGAATTTTATTTTCAAATTTTTACACATTTGTACTTCTCTGGAAGTTACCTTGTAATGAAATTAAAATTTTCTTTTTAAAGAAATACCAGTTTAGGTGAAATCAATTAAGATGTTTTCTAAAAGTCGATTACATGGATACATGGAGAAAAGAGATTTTTCAAACACAGTTAATTTCTTCTACTCCCAAACAAAAAGTTTTTCCTTTAGTTCAGATATTGTAGTACCAGCTTCAGTGGAGTTGTATTTTTAATTTTAAAAGAAATATAAGGTTGAGGGATCACTGCTGAAGAGGAGATGGAAAGATGGTCAGAACCAGAGTTGGTGGATCAGAGTCTTCCAGACAGCAGGTTAGTTACTCATATGAAAGCACAGCAATGGTGAAAGCATGCACAATTCCTATGCAAGTTCAGACCACACTGAATCTCAGCATAGACAGAGAGAAGTGGGTAAGAAATCCCAACCCAACCTAGGGAACTTTGATCAATTGATGGCTTCTGGGAGGGGGAGAGACAGTGTTTTTCAGGGCTGGGAATTTTGGTGGGTCCCATGAAGGACACTGAGGGACACAGTCATACTCTATGGACCATACTGTATACACGGAGAGTTCATTAGATTGGTCAAGGGGCAGTGAGGGTTAAGGGGGTGAGCGAAGAGCAGATCTAAATGCCACCAAACTATGTTCTATGAAAATCACAAAAATTCACTTTAAAAACATGCAAAAAAGGAGAAATATTTTTTATTTTATTACTAAAGATTTTATACAGTTTTAGTCTCTGATTAACATTTCCATGGCCATGTTTTGCCATTTCATCAAAGAGAACATTTTGTTTTTGGACAGCTACAACTTGTGAAAACTAGTTAACTACTAAGATTGGTGCCTGTTGCCCATGTCCACCGTGCTGTGCACAAGTTTTGTCTCCTTAAATTCGCATAGGTCTTGTGTATGCTGACACCATTGCTGGGAAAGGGAGTTTGAAGATTAAGATAGATTAAGATGTTCTGTCTGAAATACACAAAAATTCAATTAAAAATTTAAAAAAAAAAAAAAAACCTACTTCACATAAA